CCGGAAAGCGGCTAGACGAAAGAAAAGCTCGTGAACCCGTAAAGGTCAGCGCTTGGTATTAGGATATACGTGATCCCTGCAAACGGCTGGACCTCTAAAGCTGGAGCTCATGGTGGGACAAGCCGTCTTTACTCCACTGTAACACACATTCCGTCGCATCGATTTTGCACTCATAGGAACGGTGTTCGAAGTAATTAACTAACTAGTGTGATGAGCGAAACTGGTGTACTTTCAGAGACGGCTGACCTGCAGCTATTTGATAAATTGCAACGATAACGGTCTACCTCTCCCCTCCCCCGAAAATGGTATACCCGTACCAGTAGATAAAAGCTCAAACTGTTTTCACATTGTCAACCACCCATTAGCACCCCTATGCTAAAAATGAATGGTTATCACGCACGTTCACTATCAGTGAATCATTTGAAGTAACTTGAACCGGGACTTGGTAGATCCACGCTAAGGAGACGCGACGTTGCAAACCGCGTCAGGTGCAGGGCACCTGTAAGAGGACCTGGCTGATCTGAAGGCACGCTCCGCGATTGCAAATTGTAGGTAGCGGTTATCCACTAGGAATGTAAAGGTGGAGCTCTAGTGATCTTCCAAAACTTTTAATTCGCAAAGATGGTGCACCCTATGCGGCTGAACCACCTCGTGCAATGACGGCATGACGGCATTCTGCACCGTACTGAGAGGTAGTGGCGGATTATGTTTGGCTGACGCACACTCTCGTATGCACCATGAATTTGGTTGTAAGACATCAGGCCCTGTATAACTTACGCAAAAGCTTGAGCATCCCTTCGAACCAGCTACTAGAACGACATATTAACGCAGTACGTGCAGTGCTGCCCATGCTCGTCCACGTCCTAGCTCGGAACGACCATGTGGTAGAGTGGCTGCAAAGTGATGGCAAGGGATCTTTTATAGTTGAGGAGGGTGTTATCACAGCCAAAACATGACCTCACTATCAGATTGTTACTGCAACACCCACTGGTTTCCATTTTGGCTCGCGGTCGATTTCTGCTATCACTCAGATTCATTTTGCGGACGGACAGACATTCATACAGACCGACAAACAGACATACAAACCTATACACCAACTTCCTGTTTTATAGGATAGATTGATACATAGGGGGTATGTAACAAGAGAATCGTAATTCGCCGCCTCAATGAGCGTCACGTGCGACGTCGTACCCACCAATGACGGCGTTTCTAGTTCGTATTGGTCGAGAATAGACAACGTACGATCCATGGCCATGTCTACAATGTCTTAGTATACATGAAATCCGATGCTCTAATCATATAGGTTATGCAAACTAAGTAAACATCGCACCTAACGCCGCGTGCGGCGAAGCGGCAGATCACGATTCTCTTGTCCGTCTCCCTTATGAGTTCTCTTGCACGTCGAGTCAGGTACCTTAGGAATGCTAGCTAGTTTTTGCGCGTCAATGTGTACCAATCTAACAACGTCCAAGCATG